CTGACCATCTTTGCTGAATACAGTCCAGTTTGCCCTCAGAAGATCTGCTGCTGTTTAGCCAGGGCACACGTGTGTTGAGAACCATGTCATGCCTGGAGTCTTCTGTCGTGAGCCATCCTATCTGTCAGACAGGCACGTTTCCAACATCTACCTGCAGGAGGGAATCCCTGCCCGCTTTTGGCAGTAGCAGGGGTGGTGCAAGGAGAGGGGACGGCATTTCTCTGTCTTTGAGTGTTGATGCTTCACTGAGGGCTGGGATTCAGCTGTGGGCGGCTGGGAGTGGTGGATGGTGTGTGAGGTTTTTGCTTTGTGAAGCTGTGGTCAGTGAGAATTGATGCTTTCAGCTGGTCTTTGCCCCCCTCCAAAAAAAAAAAAAAAACCAAACCCAAAAAAACCCAACCAAAAAAATCTATATCACACCAAACAATGTCTGTTATGGCTGTCACTGCTGGGCCGTGTGGTTTCCACTCTGCAAAGAGGCCAGGAGCTGGTGTATAACCAGTCTGGTATAACCGGACTTCCCTGGCTATTCTCAGGCACCTTCTCTAAGGTCTGTGGCATTGCCATGTTAGTTTTGTGCCACGGATAAATCAGCTCGACTGTCATTTGAGCTGAATCTTCCCGCTTAAAGAATTAAATGGCTTTGTCTTGGTAACTTTTCTAAGCAGATGAGCTGGGGAGTGTTTCTTGAAGCTGAATGAGTTCCTGCTCTCTTTAGGAGTTTTAGGGGTCTTAAAGATGCAGCATTGCTGGAGGAAACGAGACAAGTTCCATCCAGTTGAGGGCCTGTTCGTGTTTCACAGACCCGCCTGCTCATCTGTGGACTGGGTTAGCAGAGGCTCGTACAGATCAGGAGGGAGGTTCCTGGGAAGATCGATCAGACAGGTCTACAGTGTTTTTACAGAAACTGGAGGCGTTACCCAGGTGTGGTTTGGGAGGCAGTGGTAGAAGCTTAGATTTGTGTGCAAGTTACCATCTGAAGGAGCCTGGGCCACTCTGCTTTCAGTACAAACTGCGTCTCTGTTCTGCTTGGGGCTTCTCCTTGCTCTAGCAGGTTTTGCAAGTGACCTTGATATGGTATTAAACACTCCCGTGTGCTAGACCAGCTCGATTAGTCTGACCATGCCTGAGCACTTGATGAAATACTTTCTTGTTTTCTTTAAGCTGCTTGCACACATCACAGATGGCATTTGAAATGCCCCAGCGCTAATTGCAGGAGGTACTCGTGGAACAACAAAAAAAAAGGCGGCTGAAGACGGCAGCCTATCAACCGTATGTTCAGAGCCAGCCTGCCTCTCTCCCCAACAATACAGGGCTGGGCTGGGTGCACCTGCGGCTGCAGGGGTGCGGAGGGGAGGGGAGGAGAGCAGCCAGCCCCTCTTTTTGTCTCCTGGATGAGAATGCAGATGCCGAGAGAGAGGCTTTGCCAGCTCTGCAGGGCCGTGCATCCAGCACGGCAGAGCCATAGCTGCGGTTGTTGCTGTGCAAGCCTGGTTTGGTGGCTGTGGATAAACAGCAGCAGCAGAATTGGCTTCAGGAGCCCTCCACAGGTCTCCGGTGCGTGCTCTGACTCGGGCATGTGTGTGCTTTCGTGCTGCTGTTGTCACCCAGGGCAGGGGAGGACTGGTGGTGTGCAGCTCACCCCTTTGTTCCCTCTTGGAGAGGTTCCCTTTTCTCATGCTCTGGGCAGTTCTGGTGCGTGTGACGCCGTCACTGAAACAAGGCTCGGGAAACTCTTGCTTTTGGGGAGCGGGGATTTAACCAGCATCAGCTTGAAAAGGCAAGTGGGGCAAATGGGGCTGTCCTGCTGGCCGGGAGCTGGGCAGCAGCCCTGGTGCTTGGTGCCGGTGACAGGTCTCCGGAGCCACAGTTAGTGTAGCCTGTGCTAGAACACCGGGTCCGGCCACGGTGGCACGTCACAAGGGGTTGTGCCAGGTGGTGCTCTGGGTTTGTCACACTGAAGGGATGCTCCGAGTGGCACCCAGCCCTCTTCTGTCTCTTCCTTCTGCCAGCTACTTGGTCCCTTTCAAAATCTGTTATTACCCAAAGGGGACTCGAGCCTGGTCCTGCCAGGCTTCGAGCACTGCTGAGGAGATACTGGAATTCCCTCTGGGCCGAGGTTGATGGGAGCTGAGGGCACTCGTGTTCTGCACAATCTGGCCCGTAATCTACAAGGGGAAAGTCTGAAAATGCTAAACATCCCAAAAATGCGCCCACCTCTCTCCAGTTATGCAGCCTTATCTCGGTGAAACACTCCCCGCTTTGCAGCACCCTCTTGTGGTGTCTGGTACCGCGGGTTCCTCCCAGCTCCCGGCTGGGGCCACCACTGTGTGACCATCACCTGCTCCAGGGGAAATGTGCAGTAAATCCGACCCTCCTCAAGCAGGTGGGTGAAACCTTTCCAAGCCCAAGACGGGCATTGATACACGGATGTTTAAAGGCTACAAACTCCTAAAGCAAGAGCAGTCTTCACTGGGGCAGCTTCTTCCCTAGGAACCAAGGGCTGTTTGAGGAAGCTGAGGTTGCCTGCTGCAGGCATTTTCCATGGTGTGACACGATCTCCGTTTCTCCCGCTCTCCTCCGTCCCACAGCAGATAAACTCGACGTAGACTCGAGGCTCTGGGGTGTTTTTGGAAGTTTTGCTAGTTGCGTTGTGGCTGTGGAGAAGTTTATCTGGGGCTTCAGGAGCAGAGTGCAGAGGGAGTGGAGCAGAACCTCACCCTGAGGCAGGCGGGAGCTGCTGGCAGCAGGGGGTGTTCTTGGGCTGGGTCTGGCAGATGAATGGAAATGAGGAGAGCGCTGTTGCTGCTTGTGGTTTCGCTGACTTTTGCCTTTGAGTGAGACTTCCCCATAAGTTTGGGTTTGTTTTTTTTTTGATGTGCAAGGGAGCCATTAACACAACTGGAGACCGGGGTGTCCTGAATGTCTCAGATTCCTTTGCAAACCGATGCTGTAAATATAGCCGTGAAGTGCCCTACATACCTGCGTGCCTTGTGCTGGCCTGGGTGAGCTCCATCTGCTGTCACTCGAGGGCTGGTGCTGTTTTCTCTCTCTCCAAAGCAGCAGGAGGCACAGACCTCTCCCAGCCTGCTTGTTTCTGGCTGCTCTCCCAAATCTTACCGTTGCTGCAGGAAGGACAAACTCTAGAGGCTCGCAGCCTGGTTATTTCTGGCACCGCGTTCTAGCAGAAAAGCAGCAGAGATCACTCGGTCCAAGGCTTCGAGTGCTTTGCCCTGCTTATTCCACACTGGTGAAGGATATCTGGAAAATGTCCTGTTAAATAGAGTGGCTGTTGTGGTTTTTCTTTTCAGCTGAACTTTCTCAAGCAATGAACAGTGGTACGGGCTTGTCCAAGCCTTCCCCTCCTCTCCCACCGAAGAGAGGCCTCCTGCCTAACAGCACATCAGAGGCAGCTGTCGCTTCCAAGCCCTCGAACGACAGGACGGGGACAGCTCACCGCCCCGCACTGATACCGATGCACGTGGCCTCTGCTCACCCACCACCCTCCCCTTCGCCGCCGCTGCCCACGCACATACCCCCGGAACCTCCCCGCCTGCCCTTGCCTGCCTCCACCCCTGTCTTGGACCCTCCACGCTCCCTGGACCTCCCTAAAGAGACTCCTCCTCCTCCTCCTGAAGACTTCAGGTCCTTGGAGGCGGCGAAGAGGACGGCAGAGCAAGGGTTTGGCGAACCCCACGTGCTGCCTCGCCTGCCCCAGATCCCCTTGCACATCCGTATCCAGCAGGCTCTGGCCAGTCCTCTGCCTGTCACCCCGCCCGCCGAGGGCTCGCACAGGGCTCACTCGCTGCTCTTTGAGAACGATGGCTTTGGAGAAGACAACGGCACCCTGGGCAGGACGAGGTCCCTGCCTGTCACCATTGAGATGCTGAAAGTGTGAGTACCTCCGTTGCAGTAAATACCTCGCCGTGGCGTGGGTCACGCTGGGCTCCAGCGTGTTGGTGTCGTACTCCCTGCGAGGCAGCGGTGGTGAGGAGGGTCGTGGGCAGGGCTGGTTTCTTCGCTGGTTTTTGCAGCAGCCTGGAAACCGTTTTGGCTGTTGGCTGAATCTGTGTTTCAGCCTCTTGGGGGACCAGTGCATCTTCCCCGTGAAATTAACCCTGGTTCTGGGATTTTATGGCTCGTGAAGGGAAATGGGTTCCAGGCTACAAACACAGGGTGATGCCAGGAATCCGGGCCTATCGTTAATTGGACCAAGACAAAACAAGGATTCATCCTGGATTTCATCCATTTGTGGCCTTCCTTAGCCTTTCATTTTGCAAAACAGAAGTGGGAAAAGTTGTTGTTGTAGCAGAGTTGAACCTGCAAGTCCCAAAGTAGGGGGGTGAGAGGGCTGTTTGGTTCTGTGAAGAACCTGCCCCTGGCGTTTCCTCTGCCAGAGCTCCCTGTGCTTTGGAGAGAGGGGACGGTGCGGGATCGTGAGGTGGCTCTTGCATCTCTGGTTCCTGGGCTACCCCCAGACCTGCCTTCTGTGGGCTGGAGGGAGCTCACGAGGTGTTGACCTCGGGGGTATTCCCCAGCCCCTGTGGCATGTGTTAAGAGGTGTAATAGTGTGCTTCTCGTTAGTCCAGACGATGAGGAGGAAGACGACGATGACCGGGAAGAGGAGCAAAATTCAGGCCCTCGTGTGTATATTGGAGATGTGCCATCTGTCACAGTCATCCCCAAACTGGTACCCCAGGTGCTACCAGAGGAGCAGGAAGGAGATGAAGGGATGAGCGACTCTGACTCGGAGGGGCCCATCCTGTACAAAGATGACGAAGATGAGGAAGAAGATGAAAGCCATAACAGTAAGGCTTTGACATTGCAGCTGGCTCTTTTTTTTTTTTTCCCCTCTGCTGAACTCGTGCCTGGCTGTATTGAGACCTGGATCAAAGAGCTGGTTCACACAGTGCTGCGAAGCAGCTGGTTCTTGGTTTCATGATGTACCACATGTCCTCTTCCTCACTCTTTCAAAGGCTCTACAGCCAAACCTGTGTGCTCAGCTGCTGACATGCACCCCCTCCAGTTGCAGATGGTTCCTGCAACAGCTTGTGCCGTCCCACCCCTTCAGGTGGGACAGCATTAGGTGAGCCCGTGGGCATCGTGCCGAAAGGCTGGCTGCTGCTGGAGCGCTTAGCTCGGGAGCTGTGGTGGTGCTGAGCTTGGCAAGCGAGCCTCGGGGGAGAGCCCAACTGCCAGGGGCACGTGGCTGATATCGCTGTGCTCAGGCGCCGCAGACTTCAGCCGCATCCCGTTGCTCTTCCTTCCCCCAGGCACGCTGGCTAACAAAGTGAAGAGGAAAGACACGCTAGCTATAAAGCTGGGGAACGCCACCACGCCGCAGGAGGAGAAGATTGTCTTCCCTCGGAAGAGAAAGAAATTCGGCACCAGATTGGGACGACGCTGATCAGGTAGGGTGGGAGGGTGGCGCAGCGTGTGAAGGGTGGGACTGGAGGAAGCTTTTGCCTCGTCTAAGCAGCCTGTGCTGGAATATGATGGGTGGTTGGGCACTGCTGCTGGGTCGGGGTTGGGAGGTTGAGTGTTGCTTTTCCTCCTCGGTTATAAAAGTGGGAAGTTCCTCCTGGAGTTGAGCGATATCCCCTGACAGGCCCCTCTCTTCCCAGAGCTTGAATGGACTGGGAGGGGAAAACCTCGAGGGCTGCAGCAACGTATAAAATGCTGTAAAACACGGACGGTGTGTAAAGATGTGGATAGATGCAGGCTGAGTGGTGGTGGTGGGTTAAGCTGGGACTGCTGGTGGTGCAGGCTCCGCTGTCTGCCTCTGAGCTTCTGAGAGGCCGTAGCGCTTCCCAAACCCGTGCCGTGGGTGAACAGCTGTTTGAGTGCCGAACAGGGCAGCGGTGGGCTCCGCTGCTGAATGAGGGGTGTGGAGGGGGCTTCCCAAGCGCTCTGAAACCGAGCAGTTTTATTCTTCATCCCCTCCTGATGAACGGCCAGATAAAACATTAGGTACTTGCCACACTTTTCTTTAGGCGACTGAGTCAGAGACCGACAGCGGAAGAACTGGAGCAGAGGAACATACTTCAACGTGAGTAATGCTTCTCTTGTGGTCCTAAGGAATATAAAGTCAGTTTGCCTTTGGCAGCTTAGTCCGGGTGTACCTGGGATCTGTTCGGGTGTTGCCGTGATGGAGGGCTGTGCTGTGGTTATAGCGCTGTAGGAGAGCAGTTCTGGTGATTTTTCGCAGTACTTTGTTACACCAGAAACCCGCTCTGGATCAGATCAGAGCTTAGCAGTGGTACCAAGCACTCCAGCCTCATGTTATAGACAGGCTGCCTGTCCCCTGCCTGCCACCTCAGGGAAGAGTCCGTTCACTGGTTAAGACAGTGACGTTACACAGCAGGGACTGTTCAAGGTGGTTTGGTTTTGGGCTGGACTTTTCTTTGCGGTCCAGACATTACAGCATTGTCTTGCAGGATCCAAAAAGCAGCGGTTCATTGCTCAGTCAGCCGTGTTGCTCTTGGCTGTCCCTTGCTCTGCGAAAGTTCTAAATAAACATCTTGAGGAAAGGGAAATGTCAGTTCAGGAAGTTTCCATTTAAAATATTTATCTGCGCTGTTATTCTCTTTAAACGATTAGTATAATAGCTTGGGGAAGGGGCAACCTGCAAAGTGGCTCGGATGTGTTTTGACAATGTGGCCGTGAATCTTTAGCCTCCACGGGGCTGGAGAGGATGACTCAGAAAGGGATGTATCGCCGCTGTCAGGCGGGGTGAAAAAACTGTAAAAAGTGCAGGCACGCCACAGCGAGCTTTTGGATATGGAGATAATCTGATATAGCTCGATACTCCCCTTTGTTCAAGTCCAGAAAGCTCTTTTCAAAGCCTGCCACGCTTACAGGAGGAATTTCTTTTTTCTCTTGGCAGCGAAAAATGAAGCTGACCGTCAAGCTGAGAAGCGAGAGATCAAACGCCGGCTCACCAGAAAGGTACTGCTGGCCTCCGTGCTGTGACGGCCGTCTGGCAGAGCTGTCGGGGACGGTGGTGGCTCTGAGCACATCGTAGGTGCCTTGCTGTGGGTGCAGTCACGGGGCTATTGTGTAAGTGTCCCCAGTGCCCTCTTGACTGCAGTGGCTTTGGAACGGGGACTGTCCCCAACGGTGAGCTGTTGGCGCCGCAGCCGCGTTTGTCAGTGATAGATCTGAGCTGGCATCGAGCGTAACGAGCTCGATGAGAACTAAATTTGGCACCTGGCACTCGAAAGGCTTGCTGGGGCTGGCCTGGCTGTTCTAACACAGTACTTCAGCGGCCATGGCTTTCACACCGGGCCCCCCAAAATCCGTTTCTCAAGTAACGGTGGTGCGGGAGAAGCTGAGCAGAGCAACGGCTGCTTTTAGCTGTTATGGCCAAGTTACTCATGGCTGGGGAAAAAACTTCCCAAGGGCCCGTGGGTGTGAAATGTGAGTGTTGCCACCGCTGAAGCTGGGAACGGGCTTGCTTCGTTTAGGGGTGTCACGCAGGGCTGTTCCCAACCCCCCCCTCGGTGTCTGCCTTCTCCTTGGCAATGTGGCCTTGGTTCTGGCCTAGCCTGGCCTCACAATCCAAACGAGATCACAAGAGGCTTTGGCTGTTCCCTTGCGAGCAGGACCTAGGAGTATCTGTGGTTCAGGTCCAGTGGGAGAACTGGTTTTAGTTTTGCTCGGGATGCTTAATCCTGGACTGCTTTGTGGACAAGGCACAGGCTAACTGTCTTTGTTCTTGCTGGTGTTCAGCTTAGCCAAAGGCCTACAGTGGCAGAGCTGCAGGCCAGGAAGATCCTGAGGTTTAACGAATACGTGGAAGTAACAGATGCTCAGGACTACGACCGGCGAGCGGATAAGCCATGGACAAAGCTGACACCAGCTGACAAGGTAACAGGGAGTGTCCTGTCCCCAGGAGTGGGGAGAGGAGCTACATCGGGGTGTCCCATCCGAGAGAGCATAAGCTGAGGAGATTTGCTCTGTTCCTTTTGCTTCACCTCTTCGTCTTCCTCTCTGCCACCCCACCCAGCACCACCGTCGTCCCTTCACCCGCGGGTGCTGTACCCAGCCCTGCTTCCTGCCCCCTCCGCGGTGACGTGGAGCCCCAGCGGGCACGGTCTGAACGCCGGCGTGGCCTCCGCCTCGGCTTCTGGGCGGCGGGAGAGGCTGCAAGGTGCAAGGGCGTTGGGCAGAGGGGTGCTGTTCCTTGCAGGCTCGGGGCAGGCCTAGGCAGGAAGGTGACAGGGAAGCCATCTGTCTTCCCTGGCCGCTTGTGGGGGACTGCCCAGCCCTCGGGGTGGAGGAGGTGGGGGCAGATTCAACTCGGCCTGGTGGGAATAGACGGCGAAAGGTGGAGTGGCCGCTGCAGTCTGAGCTCCTTCCTTTTCCCCAGGGAGCTGTGGGACTCAGCCCCGCTTATCAAACCTGCCCTTAACTCTTCACCACTGAAAGGTGGTACAGAGCAGCCCCGAGCAGGGGTGTTGGAGGTACCGCACCTTCTTGCCACGCCTGAGCTCGCTTGAGGTGGGAGAGAGGGTGCTGATGTGTATGCCTTAGCAGGAGCTAAAAAAAGCGCTCTCCCTCGCTGTGTAGGCTGCCATCCGGAAGGAGCTGAATGAGTTTAAGAGCTGTGAAATGGAAGTCCACGAGGACAGCAAGCAGTTCACAAGGTGGGTGAGAACGTGTCACTCGGGAGTTTCAAGTCTTGTTGGGAGAGCTGGGCTGAGAGGCAAAGCGTTAAAACCTTAGAAAAATCACCTGGGCAGCAGTTGGAGATTTAATGTTCCTTTCTGCCTTGGTGGCCTGGGGTGACTGGAGCAGTGGTGGATGTGAAGTGGGTTGTTCTTCCTTAAACTGGCGCTTCGATCCTGGCAACTCAAAGCGATCAGTGGCTGGTTTGAGGTGTGTCTGAAACCAGCGTGACCTCGCAGCTGGCGTGTGCTTTTTCTGGGGCTAGAGACGTGTGCAGCGGAAGCCACAGCCACAGAACACCTTGGTAGTTGGCTCAGATGTTGTCTGTGATGTTGGATCGTGGCCCAAGTGATTCTTTTCCCCCCCCCGACAGTCACTCTGCGTGGCTAAGGTGAGCGTTCACAGAGCACAAGAGCTTTCTGAGGCAGAGGTGAAATTGTTTGATGTTAACAGCTTCACTGGGGGCTGAGAGTTCAGAGATAATCCAGTTTACTCTTTTTGGCCACCTGTAGCGCCTCGGTAACCATCTAACCTGGGTTCCAAGCCTGATACGTGGATTTTTCACTTGGCTTTTAGGTACCATCGACCATAATCTTCCAAGAAGGGAGCAAGAGACCCAAGAGGACTGGAAGTTCTCTGCCTCCCTCTCCTAGGCAATACAGCGAGGGTGGAACCTCGGCTCTTCCAAGATTTGCCTTCAAAACATATCCAGAAAAAGGGCTTTCGGCCAGGGAAGGGGGAATCCTGTCTGAATGTAGCATTTCACTGGAACAAACACGTCTCGAGTGCCATCAGGCTGGAACTGAACACTATACCTCGTGTGGCTCAGCAATACGCCTCTGCTCCGGCGCCAGCGTCCCTGCCAGGAGAACCACGCACGTGGGAACCAACGGTTCATTCCCCGGCTCCCTTTCCCAGCCCGGACAGGCCCAGTTCTCAGCTGTACGTACTCCTTTTTGGGGATGCAACTCCTTTGTTTTCCCCCTCTTTACCCAAGAGGGGGTGGAGGGGAAAAAAAAAAAGGCAGCTCTAGTGTTGGAAAGCTGAGGAATGGAGAGTGGATGTGCTAGGAAGCACGTGTGTATATTAGCTGTGTACAGAGAAGCCTGTGCAGATGCTGACCTGGCGGACAACTGACCTGTGACTCGTAATTTTTTTTGGTTTTGCTTTCGTCTCTGTCGTGTCCTTAATGTCCTGAATCACTACTGACCAACAGTTTGTTGTCCTGGAAGGGAATTGTATAGATATTAACATATGCTGCATCTTTTTGTAAAAAAAAAAAAAAAAAGAAAAAGAAAAACCACAAATGTATAAAACATTCCCTCCCCACTCTCTCACACTTTGCCCTGATGTTAACGGATCTTGAGATATCTAGGCTTGTTTAACACATTACAGAACCTGGAAATGACTGTTGCCTTTTAAAAACTTTTAAATTTGGGAAGCTGTGAGAGTAGTCAATGCTTTTTATTATGGCTTCCTCTCGGATGTGTTTTTTTACTCTCCCAAATCAGGGTGAAACTTGCCTTTTACTCATTTTTACAGCTAAACCTACTGGAAACTTGATAATTTCACTGTGGGGGTGGAAGGGGGAGGGGAAGAAGAGGTTTAAAAAGTGACCTTAAAAAGGTAGTCTTTCTCTTTTCAGAGAGATATCGGTTCTTTCTAACTGTGGGGTGAGTTGTTTTTTAAAAAAAAAATCTGGTATTGGCCACTGCTGTATCGTGCACAGAACCTGACCCCTGTGTGAGATGCCACGGGACGGGAGTATGGCGGGACAAGGAGGGCGTGGGAAGGGAGAGGAGGACTTGCCTTGTTCCCAAACCCGTCTCCTTCGTTGCTCGGGGTGGGCCTCGCTGTGCCCCCGGTCCCCCCACCCTGTGCCAACACCGGCCCCCCCCGGGCTGCCCTCGCCCCACGCCATGGCCCTGCCTCCGCGAGATGGCGGAGGGGGGTGCCTTCCCTCACAGCTTCCCCCTGTACAGTGCTCCTGTAGCCTAAATCATTGCATTGTATATCAGTCTCCTCAGCAACAGATTTTAATTATGGAATAAAAGTATTTTAGGATTTTTTTTTTTT